TCTCAACCTTACCGATCTCGTATTGGTAAGGTTCCTGGCTTTGCTTACGTGAGCAAAACATCCAGAGATGTTTTGCTCATGTAAGCAAGGCATCCTCTCCTCCTTGGGAGGAGAGAGAACTTAATCAATACTTGATATTGATATAGTTCTCTCTCCTCCCAAGGAGGAGAGAGCCAGGCCGCTTACATGATCAAAACAACCGGGGATGTTTTGATCACGTCAGCGGCCTGCCCCGTTCTTTCCTCCCCCTCCGTTTTTTTCTTTCCCTCCAAATCCAACCACGAACCACCTCGACCGACCAGAAACAACCCGCTCGACCAATAAATACCAACCACCTCAACCGACCCTGATCAAGGCACGCCGCTTCAACCAAAGGCCCCAAAACACACCAGCCTCCCGCTTGCACCCCATCCGCATACCAGGCCCCTAAGGAACCAAGCAGGTAAGGAAAAAAATGTTAAAAAGTGAGAGGAAAAAGGGAAAAAATGGGGGTAAAAGGTGAAAAAATGGGGAAAAAATGGGGAAAAAATGGGGAAAAAATGGGGAAAAAATGGGAAAAAAATGGGGAAAAAATGGGAAAAAAATGGGGAAAAAATGGGGAAAAAATGGGAAATGAAGGGAAAAAAAAGGGGAAAAAAGGATTAAACAGAGGAATTCTAAGCCCCCTCCCTGCATATTGGGCTGGCAATACTGCAAAATTGAGTGGGGGGCTTGAGCCTAAGGGACCAATTCTGGCCAGAAATGTCCCAATCATGCCATATCCCCTGTTCCAATTGCTTTTCTTTCTTCCCTCAGCCTGTCATCTTTCCTTTCAAGCCTCCATCCACTTCACCCCTTCATTTATTTTATAAGACAATTAATTTACTGACAACATCATACTTGCTTCCTCTTTGTCACAGTCTATGTCTTACCAACAAAATTGCCTGGGGTCCCACCCAAACTACAGTGGCAGGGGTAACCCCTCTGAACACGCTCCAACACACCAGCCCACTGTTCCCGCAGACACAAACGGCCCACCACCAGCCATCCATCACAAATCGTGTCCTGCCAACCGCCCGGCCAAACACCTGTACAGAGCCATACATTGCAGCAGGTATGGACCTGGACCTGCCCACCAGTCTGGTACACCACAGCCCAACCTCCCTGGGGCCCCACACAGACCAGGAACCAACTTGGGCACAGGCCCGCCTTGACCATGTCAGGTGTGATCAGAGACAAATTGCCCGCGGTGTAAGACTCAAAAAATGATTGTAAGATCCTTTTTGCTGAATGGAGAAAGGGATGAAATGAGCTGCAAACTCTGCCTTTCTATATTATCAGAAAACAAGACCACCAAGGTAAGCTTGGCAGTTTGGTTGGTGATAATGGATTATGTTTGAGGTTGTTGTATAATTGTTGAAGGTTGATCTTGTTGTCCAAAGAATTGATTGAGTTGTTGATGTTGTTTCTCGTCTTGATTTCTTGATACTCGGGCTCTTCCTTGATGCTGTATATGTATAATTTAATAGAGGTGGTTCTTGAACCCAAAGGGTCTGGGAGCACTATGCTTCAACCAGGACTGGAACAAAGGACTGGCTCTTCTGTGTAATGTTTGTGAAATGAACTGTGTATATATTTCAATCTGTGAACTGTACTACTCGTGAACTTCTTGTGTAATAAATATGTGTAATCTGTGACAGGTGTCCCACCAAAAATGTGTACTGAGTGGGATGAGGAGGGAAACAACTGGCAGGCAGAGGCTTCCTTATATAGTAAAATATGAGGGATTTTAGCCCCAAGGGACCCCCTAAGTGAGGCATTTTAGCTGCCCTATCCTTGAAAATCCTGAGGGATTTTGGCTAGACTATCTACAACACATTCCTTTTATATGCAAGCCGTAAGAAAGGAATTCATGTGTTCTGTGGCTGAATAAATGGGAATTTAACTGGTACAACTGGTGGCCAACTTGTGGTTCTGTAAGTATAAAAGGAATTCAATATGGATAAAAGGAATTCAATATGCAATATGCAATATACCCCCATGCAATATACCCTCCAGCTGAGTGCCTCTGATCCTGTGATTCTCCGTGTGACATCCTTGGTTCTGCGTAACTTCTGATCCAGTAGAGATATGAAGGTGGTTCCAGTGAGTGACTAGGGGTTAAATTGGCCGTAGATTCCATTTCTGACGTCCATTTGTCCATATCTTGAATCCTTCATTGATAAATAATAAAATTTTGAATTTTCTTCCTTTCATACACAGGAATAATGACCACAGCGGTCTTCAAAATTCCCTCTGTGGAGAAAATCATACAGATCAGCATGAGTCAGAAGAGTAATTTCATTGGCTCAGAAAAACTTCATACCTGAAACACATAGCTGATGGGTGTGATCCAAATCCATCCAAAGTGATCTAGTGGCCTCTTCAGGTAACGTGGGGTGTGATGATATCAATTGGGGGAGGTTGTTGAGTATGAAACTGATATTTATAATACTCTTTTCTGCAGATTCAATTGACCACGGGATTCCAGTTGATAGCTCGGTGTTCCAACGGGTTACCTCTTGTGCTGGTAGGTGTTTGCCAGGGACAAACAGCTCCACCGCTAGGAAGTAAGATTCAACTCAGCTAATATCCTACCAAAACTCATCACAAACAACTCACTGGGTGATCTTGCAGACCGCAAAGGAGTGCCCCCCCCAGAAGAATTTTGGCTCTGGTCTGCCCGAGGGCGCTTATCATTCAAGTTTGCTCCAGTGCCCTCATGAGTTCTTTGCGGAATGATGTAGTCCCTGAACATAGAAGCCGTCAGGAATTCTGAAGGATGAGGGCCCTGCTCAGGGAGTCCGTTTGGCCCGCGCCGCAAATTGGCAGTGCGCCCCAGACCATTGTCAAGAACCACTTTGACTTGTCCTTGAGATGGTTGCTTGTCCGTGTTGTCAACCACATCATCAGTACTCCCATTGGCATCCTCATGTGAACCACGGTGTTCCAAGCGTGCTCTTTTGGCCGCCACATCATCATCCATCCCTTCCAATTGTACCATGGGCAAGCAGTATTGGGTGGGACATGAACATGGCTTGTGGATGACTGTTTTTTTGGGATGTATTGGGTGCAATCCAACAGGGGTTCTGTTCCGGTTTATCATTTCACTTTTGTTTTCTCATTGTTGTAAAGGACTGAAGTCCATGATATATCTAAATCATCATATTGATGATAACCCTTTGACACACATAGAATTGACTCTTATCAATGGACAGACTGGCAGATCACTGGTCCAACTGCCTTAAAATTGGACATCTTTGTTTATTTTACATGTTTGACTCTTTGATGCACACAGAATCAAAAATTAAACTCTTAACTGTCAGCTTCTATGATCACCGGTCAGACTGGCTGATCACCGGTCCGACTGCCTTAGAAATTGGACATCTTTTAGCTTCAACCCCAGATGGATTGACTTGCACATTCCTGAAGTGTTTTACGTATCTTTCTTTGCATTTGTTTCAACTACAATTGCAGAAAAGCAATGGTGAAAAGAAACATAGTGATCAATCTAATAAAAAACACAAACATGACAGTAACCAAGTTGAAAAAGCACAGTGAAAAGAAAAAAAGTGATCAAAAGACAACATTGGAATGGTAACAGTTGGAAAGTAAGAAGCTGGCAGAGGTCCAGCACAAATCAAAATATTTGGTAACCTCCTCAAAAACCTGGTGGCGGCGTGAACTACCAATGGCTTCTTCTGCAGTTTGGGAGTCATATGGTTCATATGAGAACACTTCTTGGTGGCCTTGATGGAAATTTGGCGGCTGATCAGGCAGGAGCTTGTTGTGAGGAATTACACAGGCTGAAACCCATTGAGTTATCTTCTCCATGGTGCCCACTGAGCTGAGATTTTTTCTCAGTCCTCACAAGCTTTGAAAACCCCCC